ACAGTACACACAGTACACATGCATAATTTGTAAGTCTTCTTTTTAATTAACTTTTATATATAAAATAAAATAAAAATATTTAATGTTTAATTATTATTATTTATTAATGTATATATACAGTACACATGCATAATTTGTAAGTCTTCTTTTTAATTAACTTTTATATATAAAATAAAATAGATACAATAAAAATATTTTAATTATATTTCCAGTTTCAAATACCTTGGGTCATATTATATAAAAAGTGTGTATATACATATATACAACTTAACGTACCACAACCCTGATGTGTTTGGACAGATCTTTGGAGCTGCCCATCAAAAAGTCTGAGAAGGCTGTCTGCAGAGGGGCACATGTATTTGAACAAATATGTTACATTTTATACATTACAAAAAGAATAAACTAAAATATCTACTTGACTTTATCGGACAGACACACTCACCCCTGCATAAAACATCTTATTGCGAAGTCGACTATTGAACCGCTCTGGTTTAGCCTCTGAGGAAACAAAACAACATCTTAGAAATTTGAATCCTTTCACAAACCGCAGATTTTATATGCAGTAGTATGCAAACCTTCACTTCATAAACCAAATTCAAATTACACGAGTGAGTGAGCACACCTCGGGATTCGTGAAACTCTAAGGTCACGTGTGCATCAAATCCAAGGCTGAAGTAATTGTTGAAGATGTCAATGGGAAGCTGAAATAGACATGGAGACGTCATTAGCTCCCCCTAACCATTCATGTCAACACAAAAGAGTTTATAAAAACTCTTTACACCCTCATTCATGCTTGACTTGTTGTAAAGCTAGAAGGATGGTGGTCTTCTGCTAAAGTCTAGCACCCTCTACTGTTGTCAGCTGACCTTGTCGGTCTGGTGTTCGTCACTCTCCTCCTCGCTGGCCTCTAAATTGGGCTCCACGCTCAGGTTCCATCGGTCCAGCTGGACGATGTTGCCGTCTTCTACATGGGACAAGATCTTGGACACCGGTTCATCTGTGTAGCCCTGAAAGTCAACAAGTACACGCATCTTCAAAAAAAAAAACAATGAAAAGCTTGTAATGGTTAACAAATAGTGGGACCATTTTCTCTTGTTATGCCAGGTTAAGAATGTGTCAGCAGTAAAAATGACATGTTTAAACCACAAACCTCATGCTGCAAAACAAAACTTGTGGTTATTATATTAAAATACAGGAGCTGAAGCTGAAACTTCATCTTATAATGTACTAACTGAGGTTTATTAGAACATTACAAACAAGAGTATTCAGGTTCGTACCCCGCCCCAGTTGAGAGTCCTGGCCAGGTCATTTCCTGTCCCGAGGGGAAGCACGGCCACGGCGGGTTGAGGGTTCAACTGGAGCTCATCTAGCACTGAGAGAATCCACCCAACCTGTTCAAGCAGAGCATATAGATTACATGATGGTCCCTATGAACTTCCTGACCGAGGGTCAGCATGATGAAATTCATTTACAATCAATATCTGAGAGATTGGCTCGGATCAGTCAGTGTTATTTTAGTAGTGGTGTTATGCCTAATACATTTAAATTTTACCTTGACTTGAATCAGTTTCAAGTACCTGTCGAGCATGTCGAGCACATTGCACCGTTGGAAAATTTGCATACTGTGCACATACTGAAACAGTATGAGCAGAAATTATATTACCCACCATCCGGTTTTATCTAGATAAGAGCGCAGATATTTGACTAACCGTTCCGTCACCGCCGCAAACGAGGATACGCAGGTTGGGCACTTTGCTGTACATTTCTAACCTTAAAAAGAGGAAGAGAAAGTGTAAGAGAACACGCTCAAAGCGAAGAAAGAAAGAAAGTATGACCTATCAACTCTTACCCCTCTCTCGGACCTCCCTGAGTGAGGTCGAACACTTGCCGGGGGTTCAGGTACCACATGAAAGAGCGGATGATTTTCGTTCCCTTTAAAGAAAAGATGAAGAAGTGCTATTATGTGGCTGTTAAATACCGTTTCTATGCACTAGGAACTTTTGAGTGTCGCTTCTGACCTGGTTTCCGCCACTCTTAGGATTGACAAACACCAGCAGAGGCTTCATGAGCTGAGAAGGAATCGGTCGCACAACAAAGTGCTTCCATTTGCCATCCTGCAGAGAATGAAATATTGAAATCTTGTCATATATAAAAGCCTATCCCTTTTATTCACAAAAGTTCAAAGGTTCAGAGGTGTTTGCTACCTCTGTGGCTTTCTTGCAGGGTTTGGCCTTCAGAGATGTTTTCTTCTTTCTTTTACTGCTCTTCAATGATGCCTGTATAATAGGGACAGTTTATAGGCATCTTTATAGACATACTAATTTTAGTGTTTACATTTGAGCTCATCAATGCAGGTGACCTCCTTTCACCATGTCCAAACCATAAAACACTACATCATAAAATTACATCACTATTAGTACTTTAGAAATACATTTGGAAGATATTAATATTTCTGTCATGACAACTCTCAGAGGGATCGGCATGGTACTACTGTACATGACAATGTTAATGTATTTGGTCTTGGCGGAATAGATCTGCTACGCTGCTGCTGCGGCAGAGCAAGTACCGAGACTTGCTACTGCCAATACATCCACAACATGCTGCTGTGAGCATGTAAGAAATATTGCTGCTGCAAATATAACATACCGTACATGAAATAACCCCCATATAGCATATATGAATCCCCTCGTAGCAGATCTATACAGGTGGAGCTGGGGAAGGTGGAGGGTTTCTGAAGCAAGCTGCACTGCTACGGCAAGCACTAGTCATATATTTGAATGCTGAGCAGTCAGCTCATTGGCTACCGATACAGGAGAGAACCAATCAGCTGAGCCACATGATAATGATGTCATTAGGTCAGATTGAGTTAGACCTATCGGACTGCGCCATCTAGAGTTTCATGCCAGAACTCTGTATATATCTATAAGATATACATTCAAAGGTTTTAAGTTGGTAAGATTTTTTAATGTCTATTTGTTCGAAAATACAGTAAATATAACCGTAATATTTTGTATAAACCCCATTTTCTTCAGGTCAGATGGTACCTGCTGTCTGCGGACTCTGATGATCCAGGTTGGAGGGATGATCACAGCCGCGTGAGCTCCAAGAGAACACGTCTCTTCGATTTTCTGCAGCATGAAGCAGGTCACCTTGTTGTGATACTGTAAGACACATAGCAAAGTGCATTGATTGATATTTTATCATACTTTAACTTTTTATGCACTACTTCGACTCAAACGTTTTGGGTATTTTTGAAAGAAGAATACAGTAAAAACAGTAAGGTTGTGAAATACTATTATAATTTAAAATAGCTTTTTTTTTCTATTTTAATATATTTTAAAATGTAATTTATTCCTGAAATAGCAAAACTAAAGTTTCAGCAGCCATTATCTTAAGAGTCACGATCAGAAATCATTCTAATATGCTGAAAACAGTTGGATTGCTTGATTTTTATGTAAAAAAAACATGATGAAGGTTTTTGAAATAGAATGATTTGTAACAAAGAAAAAGCCTTTACTGTGTCTTTTAATCAATTGAATGCACTCTTGCTGAATAAAAGCATTAATGTCTTAAAAAAAAAAAAAATCTTTCTGACCCCAAACTTTTGAACGGTAGTGTACATTGCAACCATTAAAACAAAAAAAAAAAGATTTTATCAGATGTGCAATACTTACTGCTTGCTTACACCAAGAGCAGCTGATGGCCACGATATCTTTACTGTGGAAGGAGAATTTCTGCTGGAAACCCTGAGGAAAGAGTGAAATTAGGCCATAAATACTTTCTGGGTGATTACACGTTTCATATTTTATGAGTCTTGCACTGACCTTTCCACATTGCCGGCATTTTCCATCTTGCCGTCTCCTATGGACCCAGTGATGTCTCATGTTTGGAGTCTGAAACACAAACCAGCTCAGTTGTTTAACAAAACTAAATGATAAAGCTCATTTTAAGGGACAAAAAGTCTTACCTCTCGGACATTTCTCATCCCTGGATCTTTAAATGATGGCTTACATCTGAAGTTAATCTATGGGGAACAGTTCATTTGTTGAGATAAAAAGTTCAAAACATTGTAAGTTTTTCAGCTTTACAACAATCGTCTAACCTTCTCCAGCTGATCCATGCATACAGTGTGAACAGCTATTTTGCAGGATGCACATTTGTGGCGAGGAAGAGATTTTTGCTGAGAAAACAAAATGAAACACAACAATTGGCATTTTAGCAATACATCTGAATCTGTGCGTATAACGTCTAACCAGTAGAGGGAGCTTGCGTGCAAGGATTTTTACAAAAGGAAAGACACTACTATAAACTACTCATTGTGCTGTTGATCGTTTTAAGAATAAAAATATGGGTCATTTACCAGTGACTTTGCAAAACAATATGTCTCTCCAACGTAACAGAAATCTCCAGACGGACTGGTCTCAAACCACACGTGTTGACCAAACTGGGCATTTTCCTGAGGAAGACAACTAACCAGTAAGTTAAACAGAAGTTAAAGAGATTAATATGGATTACTGTTTCATGAGTTGGAGTTTACTGCCATTGAGATAAATGAAACAGTTGGAATGCTAACTCGTTTGTTGAAATACAAATGAGTAACTCACAGTCCAATCCACGGTGCTGCAGATCTCTTTGTTGGGTTCACATTTGGCCGGTATTATGGCAACGGATTGGGCAGCGTTATCCTGCACACCAGCCTTGGCAATGGCTTTCCTGACAAAAACAATGACAGTGACATTAAACAGACTGTCTGTGTCCATCATATCCTAAGTCAATTAGATTTAGAACACTGATCAAAAGAAATACAATTATGAACATTTTTCCCTGAAAGGATGGCATCTTATTTCGCACAGCTTTCCACCTGGAGTGCCTTGGGGGTCTCTTTGAATTACATTTGTTTAATTCCATATCAATCATAATAAGACTATTTTTACTAGCCACCAACAACTAGAATTATATAGCACGGCTTGGAAATATATAGGTTTTTCTGCTTTTAATCTGCTTTCAGTACTACCACAATACACTGTGGATACCTGATGTTTAGCCTATGTCATTTAGCTCACCAAATTTGGAAGATACAGCACTGAATTTTATACTAAACAACAAAATGAAAATTGGCTAGTCTTTAATGTAACTTTATTTTATACACATCTATATAGAATCGAGTGTGCCATCTGTACATCAACGTTCATGCTAAATGTTAACACAATAGACGTGCAGAAACAGATAGCCTCTCCTTATACAGGAACTCTGATGCAATTATGGCTATGCCAAGAAAGTTGTCAATGAAGTTTATGCAATGAAATCACAGGAAATGCATTTCTAAAGGCAAATATTACCTTTAGCTTTGGGTGGGGCATTTCCAAGGTTTTTTGTAATCCTTTTGTAATCAAAACCTTGCTCACCCTGACCTTTGTGTCCTAATCCCTACAGAGGGAATCAGTGAAGCTTAGCAACCTGTTGATGAGAAGCCCACTGGGTGATCAGTAATGTTGATGAGTCACATTACCTCGCTATGGTAGCAGCTGCACTAATGAGCGATCGCCATGGTGCTCGTATCCACGGGATGGAGAATGAGAAGGTCAATGCAATGAAAAGCTGCATTGCAACTGCCTGCTCTCGCATTCAATATAAATATTTGAATGCTTGAGAAATTACTTAAGATATTGACTTGAAAGTGCTGAGTTTGTAAGTGGAGATTCACAGGTATTGCAAGTCATAGTACCTAATCAGAAAACCTGTACATTGTGGTGTATTTATTTGGTCTTCACTAAAATATAAACTATTTAGGGACGTTCATACTGACAGCAATTTGCAGCGGCAAAGTGTTTGGACAACATTCATCTACATCAAGAGTGCGAAAATAAATTTAAGCAGAGGTCAGCTTCATGCAGTTGTGCAATGACGTGATGCAGCAACTATCAAGCAACTTGGTGACCTCCAGTAATATAGTTGTCATTGTGAATGCACCTTTAATGCTACAAGCCTAAAGAAACTGACTTTGACAAATATTAACCGTCTTCTCATTGTGCACCTCAGCAAAGCCTTGGTCAGGGTTCCTCAAATCTGAAATCTTAAGCCCTGATCATCTACTCAGATGTCTTTGATTAGAGTTGGAGCTAAACCCTATAGGACACTGGCCCTCAAGGGCCAGATTTAAGGAACATTGGCCTAGGTCATAATTAGTTTCTTTGGCTGCATCCGAAAGCAGAAAATGCTACCTACGCAGGTAGCATACACTCTCAGAAAAAAAAAGGTACAAAACTGTCACTGGGGAAGTAAGCTTTCAAAAGGTACTAATATGTACCATTGAGGTGTAAATATGGTATAATGTACCTTTTAGCTTTTGCACCTTAGGGTACGGCCCCAGCTTTGTACCTGTGCTGAGGTAGGAAGGCAAGAATGCAAATCTGAGTACTATAATTGAGGTACTGTCATCTGATCGATTTTTGAGGGTTGCATAGATATATCGTTTGCTGCCCCATCCTGTGTGTGCGATTCTATCACACACTCTTCACCAAAGCTTTTTCTGTTTTGTTGTAGATCATTAAACCTTTATGCTGCCTCAGAAGTCAGTCCACTATCAGTTTTAGGAGTTACCTTCGAATTCAAATGCTGCCTGCAAGTCACTGACTGACAGGGCAGCAAAGCAACAAGTCAACTGTCTAAGCTTTCTGACGCAGCCTTTGTGTTGTTGTTCTTGCATTTCATGAAACCCTGTATACATCTAATTTAAGAGCACAGCATGAAATAACTAGACACAACAACAGAAAGGTTCTACATACGACAAGAATCCACTCCAAGACTCCAGCCTGGGATCGTAATAAGCTCCCAGGAGGGGATTGAGAGTCGCATGACCCCTGTAGCAGGTAGAGCTTCTTCGGTTAGGAAGCGGCAGGCCTCTTCCTGGCCAGGGGCTTCCTGCTTTCGAGATGGTGGAGACCCGTCGACGGTGCCTCCTCTGGCTGCTGCGGCAGTAGCGGACGTGCAGGCCAGGCTCTGCGTAGCCATAATGTGATGAGTTCCTCCGGAGGCAACGGGGAATGCGGATCAGCGGGTGGGCCTGGACACACTCTGCCACCACAGCCAGAGGAAGGCATTCCTGCTGGCATAAAACAGCAGACTCTTTGATCTCCCAGTCTGACAAATCTGCTTCCTCTAGGAACTCCTTGCGCAGCCCCGAGTGATGACTCTTCTCTGAGTGGCCGCTGGAGTCCTCGCTGTCACTGTCGCTGTCGCCTTCTGAAAGAAGCACATCTGTGTGACTCCTGAACTTCGTGTTGCTTCCCTTGAGTTCCACTTGCCCTGGCAATGGACTTTGGCTCTCCTCATCCTCTTCCTCCTCTTTTGTCATCTGAATTAAGCTGGCCAGCAGCATGGACGGGCCCAAGAGGTGTGTGTCTATATTACGGAGCTTGCCCACCTTCTTCCGGCGTATGGCAAAGCGAGGATTGGCCTTCGGGGTGGTGGTGCTGGAGCGCCGTCTACCACTGCTTTTCTGAACCAGTTGACTGCTAGTGATTCGAGGTAAAGCCTGAAGTTGGACACTGGATCGGCGTCGCTGGGTCAACGCAGTGGACGGAAGACCTACGCTGGAGCGTCGACGGGCACAGCTGGCTGGCACTGCAATGCTTGGCCTCCTGTGTAGACAGGGTTCAGGTACGTGGCCATCATGAATGGCTTCTCCTGCTTCCTTCCTCTTAAAATGCCGTCGGAAAAAAGTGTCCATGGTGGCTGGAAGAATACAGTTCTTTTTCTAAAGTTCCCCCCTGAGGCTGTTGATTGAAAATGTAGCTGGTCAGCATAGATTAACCATTTTAGCACTAAGTTCTAAAACTGCTGAAAGCTTGTTACACTGACCTCCATTGACCAAGATTTAAACCTAATCCTTAAAATGGAGATAATCTAGCTTGACCCAACACATTCCAGTGCTTCCCGAAATGGTCAAATTATAGGCAATTATATTATGAAAACACAAAATAACCAACAACAGACTTCACAACACAACAGTTAAAAACTGAGATAGCATGATTAGCAGATCTGGTCTACCAAGTATGTCCTTTTGGTTAAAAACCTTGATGGGACTCCACAACATCACAACATAACGTACAGTATATTTCTCTTTTTAGAAGGTTCGTCTATGAGTTTATACTGGTTATTAACATTATTATGAATGTGGAAAGTTAACTCCGCCTGTCCTCGCACAGATTTTCCTGGGGTTTACGCCAGGACAATTTGCCTTCCAAATCGAGTTAATACTAGCAAAGCCAGTTGACTACAAAGGTGCATTGTGAGTCCACGGGTCATGTCATAATGACAGGAAAGGCACTCAAGGAAATGAAGCTCTGCTCAGCTCATGAACGTCGTGATTATCCCACGGGGATGTCCAGGGCAGATTATAAGGGCTTTCTGACCTTTCAGTAGTGACTGCCTGTACTAATTATAGCAATGTAACTAGTCTATCTCATTTAGAGACGGATATGACCTAGACACAACTCTCAGGGTAAGGAATGATACTATTGGTGCTAAGTATTTTGTAGCAATATTTACAGTAAACATGGTATTGTACTACAGTAGAGGTGACAGTACAATACAGTACAAACAATTTACCTGAAAAAAGTTAATTGCAAATTGCAATAAAAATATATTGTATCCGCACTAATCACTTCTATGTAGATAAACAACTGTTCTTGCTCTCCAGGCAGAATAAGGAAGTGACACTCAACCAAGACTAATTACTGTCAGGGTCATCTCTAGCAATGGTATGTAATTAGTGAAGTGGGTTCATTTAGTACCAAAATATGCACTTAAACCTAGAGTCTGAGTTTGATTAGCTCCATCTAAACTGAAGACAGGCAATAAACAAGACAGATAATAATATCACATGATTGTTTGTCACTGATTACATGTAGATTGGGGTTCTGTTTGTTTACTCTGCAACAGATTTAATTAAAAAGCACCGTTTAGAACATTTTAAATAATTCTGACCTATATTATTTACCTATATATATATATATATATATATATATATACATACACACTTGAAAAATATGTTTCTTTTAAATACTCCAATTATTATTGTTTTTTTAAATTTCAAGTTTTTTGACTTAATTTAAATTATATATTTATTTATTTTTAATTGCATGTCACAATATATATATGTTGCAATATGTGTAATGATATATACATATAATAATGATAATAATAATAACTTTATTATATATTTTCAGTAGTATTTATAAGAAATACATATTTGGTTTATAATATGATAGTATTTCTCAATATAATTAGAATTTTGTACTAGCTACAGTACACATATCATTTGTTTATGTCTGCTACATTTTAACAGATTTACATTACACAAAGCTTTATGCATGTCAAAAGATAAATATTCATAACAGTACTCAATATAAGAACAACAACTGGTCCAAACTCACTGCTAAATGTCCACATACAGTTCAAACATATACAAAACCTCCCTAAACACTAAGTTCTAAAGCTTAACTCTGCATTTCTGTCCAGTTATTAGTCAATATCCAACAACAACAACAACAAAATATATTATACGACCTGAGAGTTTAGCTCCCCGGCTCCTTCCCTGACCGTCTCCTCACAATGAACTAACAGAGAAAGTCCAAGAGATTAACAGGTGAGACAGCCTCCACCCACACACGCACGCACGCACACACACACACACACACAACACACAGACAGAGATGAGCTTAACTCTGCATTTCTGTCCAGTTATTAGTCAATATCCAACAACAACAACAACAAAATATATTATACGACCTGAGAGTTTAGCTCCCCGGCTCCTTCCCTGACCGTCTCCTCACAATGAACTAACAGAGAAAGTCCAAGAGATTAACAGGTGAGACAGCCTCCCCCCACACACGCACGCACGCACACACACACACACACAACACACAGACAGAGATGAACTACACACAACCCAAGCCTACAGGAAGAGAAGCCCCACATCCACCCACAAACAACACAGCTCACTGGGAAGCAGCAGCACACATCACAGAGGAAAGAGCCATCGACTAGGCAGGAGGTAACCGGTAGGAGGGAATGCAGGGTGCATCGAAGCCTGCGGTTTAAAATAATGACCAATTATCAGCTTAACGCTGGGAGTTTGTGCGAGACGTACACGAGCACAAGCGTCTGCATTTCCTAGACTCCTAGATCATGTTGCTGGCACACATGGGGCTGACACCAGGTGCTCTATAGGAACACAATTAATGGTTTTATGATAATTATCTCCATCGTGAACATTGTGCAAAGCCGCTTCTGCTTTTGAACAGAACATTATGCATATTGCTTAAGAAAAAGAGGACATAGCACTAATTCTGGTGCAAAACAACCCACGTCATGCAACACCCACAGCTGTGAAGATGATCTGTGTGGTTTAAACCACGAGAGCAGCATCGGGTTTAAACAGCATGTAGGTTTTTTAACCATTGTAAAGCTGATCATAAAGATGATGGCTTTAGTGAGGACACATTGTGTCTATTCACGTCCCCTAATAGGACGACAAGGCGATGCCACTCCACCCCAAAAGCACAATGAGTTTCATTTCCATTTCAAGGCCCTCGTGCTGTTGCATTATGGATCAGCGGGTGAGGAGTGAATGCGCTTGAATATCAATTTGGCAACCTATAACGAACATCGTAGTTTTGTTACGTTGGGGGTTCAAGCTTTAAATACTGAGCGTTAATGTGAGCCCCTTGTTCTTTGGGGCACTTCTGTGCGTGACAGATGTGCACAGAGCTGGAGACTCCATGTGGAAGTAATTACTGTCTTTTAAGTGATGGGGGAGAGAGATCTGCTGGCTGTTACTATGGAGAGGGACATCATGGCAACCAAACCTGCTTAGCTGTCCTTTAGTCACTGTGAACTTCGCTGGATATAGAAATACACCCCAGCTTTATATTAATCATGTACTAATTTGTCTTTTAATTGACACCCTTTCAAAAGGTACTAATATGTTCCTTTAAGTACCTTTAAGGTACTAATATGTACCATTTAGGGTAAATAAGGTACAAAGATGTACCTTTTAGATTTGATACCTTAGGGTCCTGTCCAAGTGACAGCTTTGTACCTTTTTTCTTAGAGTTGAAAACCTGTGATTAAGTTCGACATTATATCAAAATTAATGCTTTCACAAAACTTTTCTTTGTTAATGTTAATGATCTTAATTCATCAGTACACATCAGTTACAATCACATCAAGCTTGTATTCATAATCTTTTGTCTACTTTTTCTAGGCCACAAAGTGTCCTACTTTTTTCTGTCAGGACCACTATCGTCAAAGATGATTGACAATTAGCAAACACTTTGGATTGGCGGTATGGTTCTGTTCTGGGCAAGAACTCCCTGCTCTCATCCATGCTAGGCTGCATTGGAGAGCAGCGATAACCCCCCACCCCCCCAGGGTAAACAGAACAGAACCAACATAAATGTATTGCAGATATCGTTAAAGTTCAATAATTTTATGTACACATTTTAGAATTAGTCTGATTCAAAGGATAATCAAAAGGCTGGAGGAGGGAGCTGGGGATGGAGGAGGGTAATTAGCTATTTAACGCTATGCTTGATTTTTTTTAAATAAATTCATATTTTAGTCATCAAGGATGATTTAAATTTATCAAAAATGGATCAGTAAAGACATTAACATTGTTTCAGAAAATTTATATTTCTAATAAATGCTGTTCTTTTGAACTTTTTATTTATTAAATAATCCTAAAAATGCATCACAATTTTCACGAAAATGTTATATACGAAAATAATATTATATTATAATAAGAAATGTTTCTTGAGCACTAAATCAGCATATTAGAATGATTTCTGAAGGATCATGTGAGATTGAAGACTGGAATAATAATGCTGAAAATTCTGTTTTGCATCACAGGAATAAATTACATTTTAAAAATATTAAAATAGATAACAGCTATTTTAAATTGTAATAATATTTTACAATATTACTGTTTTTACTGTATTTTTGGTCAAATACATGCAGCCTTGGTGAGCATAAGAGACTTTCAAAATCAATTAAAAGACTTGATGCCAAACTTCTTATATCAATTGATTTCTTATATCAAATCCTTTGCAGGATTTGAACCCTTTAGTTAGCAGCTCAAATCTATAACAATCAGGCTCTATTATCATTAGAGATATATTTGTCATATAAGAATAGAGAAACATACATTTAAGTCAACAGGAAATCAAAATTGACCTATTTACTTTATTAATTCACATTCCTGGTCTCAATGCATCTGATTCATCAGTCTACATCATTTCAAACTATTCCCTCTTGTTTTTTCTTGTCTCTTGTCTCTTTGAACAAGTCTCTGATGTTGCAGGAAAGCTGAACGTTAGATTGAAGAGGAAAAGGATGGCAATGCCACCACCTGCTGGATAGGAAACACTGAGACTATCCATTAAACAAATGCACTTCCACTAAAGGTGTTCTATCCACATAAATACTTCTCAGATATTCTTTTTTTATTTAATACTATTTAGCTGCACTCATTCATCTTTTTCACATTTACATATATTTCACAAGACAAAATATTAACAGAATTTACACAAATTATCCTGTTTAAAAGTTCAGTTTACTTGGTTCTTACACTCTAAAAAATGCTGGGTTAAATACAACCAAGTGCTGGGTAAAATAGGGACAAACCCAGCAATTGGGTTGTTTTGACACAGCGGTTGGGTTACTACCCAGAAAGTTGGGTTAAGCATTTAACCCAACCGCTGGGTCAAAACAGCCCAATTGCTGGGTTTGTCCCTATTTAACCCAGCACTGGGTTGTATTTAACCCAGCATTTTTTAGAGTGTAATATGTTGTGTTGACCATTTCTAGTTTCTGTTTTATTTATTTAGTACAATTTTTGCAAATTGTAGTATTTTTGTCTTGTGGTATATTTTTAAATATATGTCACTAAATAAATGATACATATTATTTGTATTATTTATTTTTTAAAGAAACTAATCATCTTAAGGATTCTGCAAGGAGTATGTGTACGTATGATAACAGCTGTATGTGAACAATGATCACACAAATTATTACAAAGGATCTTTACAGAATGTCATCTGCTTTCGCAACATAGAAACATTTTGTAAAATGCAAACATGTGGAGAACCATGGCATCCCACTGATGACCACATGCAGGAAAATCCCTGATTTTGTCACATCCTAGTTCCATTCCATCGTTGTTCTCCAAAATCGATCAGTTCCTATGATTGCGCTTGCTCCACCACAATGGTCAAACTGCAGACACAGTGTCTCTCACTAGAGTGTGCTTCATGAGCAAGAAGACAACATGGGTGAATATATACTGTATGGGTGAATGTTTTTTTTTTACACGTCTTTGCATGGCAGCATTACGGTGGTTATTTTTAGAGCCTGTTTCAAATTCCAGAGATTCACAGAATTCATAGAGCTACTCGATTATGGGGAAAAATAATAATATTGTAATATCTAATATTGTAATCATGGTTATTTAAAATTATAGATACCAAAATTAATTCTCATTGAAATTTCACAATTCTCGATTTCAAAATCCTCAAACGTTGTTAAAAGTAGCCTAAACCGCAAACAAAGAAGCAAATTACGATCAATATGGACAAATACGGAAATTAATCAAATGTAAAATAATAAAAAGCACAGTCTTCACTCTATTAATTAGTTTGATTCTTAATAAAGCTACAAATGTCATTCAGTTAAGAACAGTGCGAGGTTTTCTTTTTCTTTTGTTTAATTAGAGTAGCCTACTGTGACTTTAAGACCCGCTGCACGGATCCAATATACTGATACACATCCCATATTCAAATTATTTACCTTAAGAATGTGTTTACAAACCGACTATTTACATGAATACCCTCCAAACCCAGCATTTTTTTACTATTTTTGTGTATATTTTACCATTTAGGCACGTACCCGAAGCCCTTTGAGTAAGCTATGTTTTGGTTGTTCGAGTTTCCCTCATTCTCGGAGCGCGCGTGTATAAAGCCGTCCGAGGAACAGTGTAAGTACTCTTTCACAGCCTAATTTTAATAACCCTTTTTCATTTTACGATAGTCACTTAAATGATTTGACTGATATGGACGTTAATTATGGGCTTTTATGGAGTGTCAGAAGCGCACCGCTGTAGAGGAGAGGAACGGAATGCGGCACAATAATTGTTTAATCTTGATTGTTGTGTTTTTATAGTCGTTGGAAGCCGAAATTGAAACTAAAGTTCGATTAATCACATGTACAGCCCTTTTGGCATTTCACCACCAGCCTCAGGGCCTGTTCACACCAAGAACAATAATTATAATGATAAAGGTAAAGTTTTAAATATCGTTCTAACTGTAAAACAGTAGCAGAGTCCATACCACAACAAGGCTTATAAAAATACCTGCCCAGAGGAAGGATTGTTGGAATTACTTCCAAAATGTTTTTTTTTTTTTCAAACTGATGAATTATTAAAAAACACTGACAGCCTATTAGAATTTATCCTCCTTAAAAGGTAGATGAGGCAGATGACACAATTGCGACACACACTTATAAAAGTTATTTTGCGTTTGTGTGGATGCTGATATAGTTAGCATTGTAATGATTGTTGTTGGTGTGAACGGGCCTTTATTCCCACCTCACTCAATGCTGGTACCTAAAAGAAAAGAAAAATTCCATATACACTCATTCACTTTCAGTCACTTTTCAGACACATATTCAGTCACCCACATAGGCCTAGAGATCTCCATTAGCCCACCCTGAGACTCTGACCCTGAGCCATACTTAGCTCCAGCATAGAATGAGACGTTAAAGATAGCTACAGAAATGGGCCTGTTCCTCCACGGGGCGGAACAGTGCAGCCATGCAAATGAAGTCGTGCGAGATGGGCCACTGGGTATAAGAGTGTTCAAGGAAACCTGTGTCTACCTATGACCTGAAAAAAGCAGTTCTTTGATGCAATCGGCACATTTAACGGCTGTTTGGATGCCCAGGTCTTCATGGCCCTGAGGAATCTGGTCTGAACTCTCTGTACCGCAGTGATACACAACCTGTGTGCCTCAGGTGTCCTAGCCGTGTATGGCATTATCAGATTACACACATCAACACAGCTGTGAACAGGTGCCTCATCAGCACACAGAAAAGGTGAAGTACAAATACACACACAAACACACACACATCTCGAAGGAAGGGGGACTGGGTGATGGAGAAATGGTCATTTA